AGTTAACTTAAACACGAAGAAATTTATAAATTTATAAATAGATGTGCCTTTTAAGAAATAAAGTAATAAGAAATATTATAACCTTTACGTGACGATAGTGTATCGTTAACGATACACTTGATGATGCCAGGGTCTTCTATTACGGGTTATCAATTATAAATTTTCTATCACACTCAAGAGTAAAGGTGAGAAATCAGAATGTGAAAAAAGTCATAGTTAATCTCATATGATATAATGGTATGATCTTATTTTTACGTAAAAGAAAAATTAAACTAGTTGGATTATCACTAAATGTGAACTATAAAGTACGTATAAATACATTATCAGGCTATTTTATTTTATAACCTTCTGTGCAGACATGTATGAATATCAAAGAAATAGTAAAACATTAAAGATACGATGGTTTGAATTATTTTTATATTAATTGATTGTGTACCTTAACGAATTTTCGTCGATTTCCCTGGGATCTGCAATGTTTGGGCATCTTGATCTATAATCAAATAAATTAAAGAAAATTCATGATATTTCAAGATAATTAATTAACCTACCTAGAGCATTCCATCCTTATTAATTCTTTAATGCCAATGTCTCAAATTTGACATAATACGTACGTGTATACATATATCGATTATAACGAGAACTTTCATTTATTTTTTAATATTGGGGGAAATAATTCTTTTATTCAAAATGAATTTTTAGATATTTAAATACGTTTATAATTACTATGTATTTCGTTATCAGATACGTGTAGGCAAATGGCCAGATTTTTATTTTGGGATGCGAAAAATTTAGAACATTAATTGTAGAGAAAGTATAACTATAATAGTAATACTGAATGGAAAAATATTCAAGAAAGTCTGTGTAGTTTTTACTTTGGTTGTTATACATTAGTCTCGTTCCTTATATTTAATTTCACTATTATTTATTTATTTAATCATTTTTCTCTAGAAATATTTGAAGTACGTATATTCGACCCAATTTTCTTTCTTTCATCAACTTTATATGTATATGTATTCAACTGTATATGTATTCGAATATGTATATGTATTCGAATAATAATCTTATTATCATTTGCCAACTGTGTGAAAGTAAACCACGCAAAGTATACTTTCACCATTGCATAGAATAATTACTTATTAACTGCGCAATCAGTACAGTGAAAGTTGAAACTCTTTGCAAAACACAATTTCCCTTTTATTTAGCAATATAAAATAAAATATTTTATATATATTTATTAATTGTTGTAGTTTTTTTATTGATAGAATTTCAAATATATTTATATGCACAGTGGAAAATATCATTTAAAAATATCGTGTAAAACTTATATTGTAAGTTTAAACTCACCCGCATGTAAAATGTGAATATATATAAATTATGAAAACATTTTTATCTTCACTAAATGGCATTTGTATTGATACGTAATTATTGTTTAACAAATATAAAATAGGAATTTATCAAATCTAACCGAGTACCGAAAAGACTGATCAATTAGGTCATAGTTCAAAGTACTAAATGTTAGTTACGATATTTATCATTCAGAAATCCATCGTTCAATTGGATCAGTTTTAATTTTAGGAATAAGATTTTAACATTTAAATACGGATATCGATTATTAATTATTTCTACGCTTAAGATATTACTTTGAACTATTATTATAATAAGTATTATATTCAATTAATATTTTATGTAGATTGTTTAAAAAGTAATATTTTACATGAATAATTAATTAGAATAAATTTTTAATAATTTTAAAGAAGTATTAATATTATCTAATTAAATTTCCGTTATAACTATCATATTAAAACGTAAATGTTACATGGCTCGTTGGTCTAGGGGTATGATTCTCGCTTCGGGTGCGAGAGGTCCCGGGTTCAAATCCCGGACGAGCCCGTAGGTTTCATTTTGTTTCTTTCTCCCTTTACTTTTTAGTATTTTTAATACTATTCTTATTATATAATGACTTAAGTAAAAAAATTTTCTATTTAGAAAAAATTGTTCATTTAATAGCAATAAAATATCGAAGTTAAAACTAATGCTATAGATTATTCCGTAGAATCACAGAGGTACTTCGTCTTATATTTCGGTCGTCCGGAACAGTTGATAATTTTTTTTAGTCTTTCGAAAAACAGTTTTTCTATTATACTAATCAATAATTTAATAATTTTTACATTTCTATCCCAAAGTTACACTTTCATGAATATGTTACAATGTTAAATGTAATAATTTATTAATTTTTTATCAGCTAAAGCTAAATTTACATTTTCATGATATTAATTTTTATTTGATAATAGTATAACAAATTTCATTTTACTTAATTATTTTACTTACGTATAGTTCACCGTTGCTTAAGCGAATAGTGCGTTAAAAAAACTGATTTTTTTTCTGATATTTTAGACTTTGAGATACTTCCTATTTCATGTCTGATCTATTCTATCTTCAGTCAGTGGTAGAACTATTGACAACGTCAAACATGGCGCTCGCGTGGAATCCATCAAAAAAATACAGTGATCGTGAAAGGTATATTTATTGAAATATACCAATTTTTATGCTTAATATTTAATTTTGAACAAAAATGTTCAAATAATTAAATTTTTAATAGTTAATACACTTTATTTATAATATACGTATATAAATACATAATTTTTCTGCTACATAACCTCTCTAACATCAAACTGACAGCAGTATAATAATCATTTTATTTGTGGATTTTTTATAGGTGGATTTGTATCTATCCAGTGTACCTCAATAGTAAGAGAACTCTAGCAGAAGGTCGAAAACTCCCAAAAGATAAATGTGTAGAAAATCCAACGCACCAAGAAATTCGTGATGTTTTGGTAGCAGCTGGTTTCAATGTTGGAGTAGAAAACAAACTACATCCACGAGAACGTAGCAAAGAATTATTGTATCGCGGACGTATTCGCGTACAGCTTAAAAATGACGATGGCACTCCTGTGAAATCTGAATTTCCTACCAGAGATTCAGTTTTGGCCTATATAGGTACAACCATTCCAAAATTAAAAACTCGACAAGGAAAGCAATCGAGTGGTGAACAGTCTTCTCAATCATCAAGTTCATCAACAAAGAAAGGAAAAGGAAAAGGAAGAAGGTGATAAAACGAAATAATAATATTAAAATTAAAACGAAATAATAATATTAAAAATGTTTTTCACTTATATATATTTTTTATGTCAAGATGACAATTATTCTCTTGTAAAAAAAGATTGTATTACAACTTGTATAAACTTTTTGAAGATCAGTTTTAAATTGAAGTTCTATGCATATAAATACTGAATATAGTTTTCAATTAATGTCATATTTGTTATGTTACCTCCAAAACTTTTGGCAAATTTTTATTCATTTAATTATTATTTTAATCCTAATAATCATGTTGAATATTTGCTCTCATTCACATCTCCATTTTCATTATTTATGAAATCTTCTTGAACATTCGAATCAGTAAAAGGTTGCTATAGTGAACCAACTGGTAACTGTGATGAACCATCAACTGAAAACTTTGATGTTGTTTGCTTATTATGAGGTACATAATGCACTATATAGCCATTAGGGGGTGGAAGTGATACTGGAAGATGTGGTTCAATCATGCTGGATAGTGGAACCTATAAATTTAATGTAACAAAATTTTCTCAATTTTACTAGCCTTTATAATAAAATTTTACATACATTGTTGTGGATATTTGTAGGAGCTAAGCCTACAATAGGTGATTGTCCAATTGGATACGTTAAATTATTCTTAAGATTTTTTTTTGCTTTCCTGTTTTCTAATGCCTGAATGTTATTATAGACGACATTAAATTACAAAAACATATGAACTATATTATATACATATTACTTACTTTATTTATACCTGCAAGAAATGATTTGTTCAAATGTAACATATTGTGAAATTCTGATCTGGCATTCATTATACCATGCATTGGTATACTAGCTGTTTGTATCAAAGTGTTAGGAATATTATGTAACGCATTAATATGTGGATGTAAATTAGGATGCAACAGAGATTGTAATAAATTATTCCCTAGCAAGTGTGGTACTTTACTTATTGTATTTAAAGCTGGATGTATAATGGAATTTAATTGTGAAGAAATAGGTAATAAAGGAATGTGTGGTAATGGAGGAATGTGTGGTAATGCTGGAGGAATATGTGGTAATACTGGAGGAATATGTGGTAATGCTGGAGGAATATGTGGTAATGCTGGAAGAATATGTGGTAATGCTGGAGGAATATGTGGTAATGCTGGAGGAATATGTGGTAATGGAGGAATATGTACAGCTCCAACAATAGAATCAGATGAAATTGTATTTGAATTTTGATCATTTATAGTCTTAATATCCGGATTATTTGTTTCTTCTGCATTATTATCATCATCTGCATTATTATCATTATCTGCATTATTATCATTATCTGCATTATTATCATTATCTGCATTATTATTTGGATCACAATTTCTTTCTTTTAAAAAATGAGCATGACCTTTTAGAGGTCCTCCGGTGAGAAAATAGTTTGCAACTTGATGAGCATCACCTGAAGGTTACCAATATATTGGTATATATTAATTATTATTTTATTTTTCTTATTATAATTTTACCAAGTCTAAGATGTTGACTAGATCCTTTTACACCACGTGAATTTCGATTTTGCTTAATGAATGCGTTGAAATTATTAAAATCAGTTTCTTTTAATTGCCTTTCAGAATGTATTTTGTAATCTAATGAAACAAATCAATATATGGAATATAATACTTTTTTCATATATAAAATTTATATCTTTTTCATAGTTTTGTGTTACCTGTATAGTCATGGTATGTATTGGGATAATTGGACCCTATTGATGTAGATTCTTGTAAATTGTGAAATTTAGCACAAGAAATATCACATTTATACACTGTAGTATAATATAAAATAAAAATTAGTGATGTTAATTTAGAGTGCTTCATGTTACATTTAAAGAATTCACATCAATTTTAATTTCAATCAGTGTCTTAAAGCACAAATTCTGGACTGAAATCTGACGTGATTCAACCTAAAATTTATTGATTTTGTAACAGAAAATGTGCTGACAGTTTATGAACAATTTATTTTATTTGTCATAACATCATGCTTACATATCAATATGCAAGATTGTAAAAATTTCATCAGATCTTAAACAATTGAGTAATAAAACTTGTTATATGAAATTATTACCATTTCCTTTGTTTAATTCATTAACTTTTGTCACGAGATGTTAATTTTTATTTTGAAGACCTTTATCAAATTACATTTCAAAAGAAATAAGAATATATTTAAATTTTATAAAAAATTTAGTAACTTTGTAATAACTTATACAATGTTATGATAAATTATTAAATATATATATTGCAAAATCCCATTTTACAATTAACAGGAAATTTGTAAAAAAAAGAAACCTTTCTTCCGTGACAATGTTTTTCACATTGCCGTGACCAGGATTCGAACCTGGGTTACTACGGCCACAACGTAGGGTCCTAACCACTAGACGATCACGGCTATTGAAGGTTACAGTAATCTAGTTTTTTTTTTACAAACTAAACGCTTATTTTTATCTTGTAAATATTAATGCTTTTTTAATTTATATATTTTGTAATTAATATGTATATATACGGATAAATATTAGCATAATTATTAAAGTATATTCTAAATTATTGATCATATACATGTAACGAAATGACAAATCATTTTTATTACGAAATAGTTATTTAACGATGTTGAACAGTACTTATAATGAAAAAAATTTTGTAGAATATAATAGAAATTATTTCGAACATTATTTAGATACGAAAGTTTAAAACTAAGATTCAAGTTGATAAAATTATAAATATTCTGTTAAATTAATTATCTTCTTTAATAGATAAGAGAAATTAAATTTACATGAAAGGCGCGCGCTTAGTTGAAGATCGAAACAATATTATAATCGATATTTCTCGCGATTTGTATTTGTAACATAAAAGTGTTAGTTTTACGCGGTAAGCGCGAGGAGATTAGAGCTCCAAAAGTTGAGAGAGATAAAAATCAATAACTTTAGATTTGTTTTTCCATTGTTAAACATATCTACAATTTAAGAAAGTTATTAGATGTATTCAGTCCAGTCACTTGTTGATTAGAAGTGAATATATACATACATATATATTATGTAAACTACAGCTCAAGAATGTATTTAGAGATATTAGAATTAGATTTTTTTTATGTATTATATGGAATATGTAAAATGTTTTATATTTTATATGAGTACTATAATGATCATAGCCAATTTGAAAATGTATATAGAAATGTATATAATAGTTATAGGTTACTGACAAATTAGTATCTTAGTATGGTCCATGTGGGCACAGACGAGATCACAGACGAGGTATATGACCTGAGATATGAAAAAACATTGGATGTCCAGTCTATGCAAGTTAGTCAATGCTATAATCAATACCATTTTCTTGAACCAATTCGTAGCATTTTGTTTGACGTAGTTCTCTAATTCACCGTTGTTTAAATGTAGAGGATGCTAAAAAGTCAGTGATCTTTTTTCCTGGTCGGTATTTCAAACTCTGAGATACGAAACTCCATTTGATATCCAGTCTATTCTACCTTTAATCAATGGTTCTGCTTTTCTCCTCTTGTCACTCTTGGCTCTGTTGCACGTGTATTTTACCCGCGTGACATGTGCACAATGTGTTCGGTTTTCGATCTCCAACGTTTAGTTTCGTTATAAATATTTTGAGGAGTATTTGATAATTTATTTGTATCAATTTATATTCTTTAGTCACTACGGTATGGCTCGTATTGGGAATGTTGTGAGTATGATAAACTTACTTGGTGTTACAAATTTTTCCGTAAAAATGATCCTTAACTTACTATGTGTATTTTTCCTTCTAAATATTGTCGTAAATTTGATTGTAGATCGTTTAGAAATTTCGTTTTGAATTAAAATCATTTTTTACGACTGGTTTTCGTTAATTAACGTTCGTGTGTAAAAACATGAATCGTAGTCGGTCAACGATATTTGACGGTTACAAAAATTTGTTAACTTGCAGATTTTAATATCTAATTAGTATACTTTATATTTATATTTATACATGATTTTTTATTTTAATATCAATGTATTTATTAATGTAGAACAATTTATTCTAATTTTAAGACTGCAGATCAATTGATAGTTGGTACTAGTGTATTATCTAGACCTGCAGAAGAATTTGACAATGATGTAAGTTGCAAATGAAAAACAAGAAATAAATGAATTTATAAAGGTAATAATTATAATAATTCCCTCTTTTTAGCCCTCTGTAGAAGCAATGTGGGCAATGAAAGCCATGGAGCATGCTGAAGTTTATTTTAATGTAAAAGAAATTTTAATACGATTGACTTAATTCTATATGAAAAAAAAAAGTAAAAACATTTAAAGTTTTTGATTTTTAATTTGAAATTTCTATTTTAGATTTTATGTTCAGTTGATCCTAAATTTTTGAAACTTACACCTCATGATGAACAAATATATAAAAACTTTCGTGATGTTTTCCCTAATCTCAAAGTAGATAAAATAAACGAAGATGAATTAAAATCACCTGAAGAGAAAATGAAATGGAGACCATTCTGTGAACAATTTAAGGGACTTGTTGAAGATTATAGTTTTGGTACATTGTTAAGAGCAGATTGCGAAGGAGATTACTCAGAGGAAAACAGTATACTCACAACTAGAATACAATTTTATGCCATTGAACTTGCCAGAAATAGAGAAGGATTCAATGATGGTATTAGGAAAAAGTACAAACCAAAACAGTCTACAGAAAAATCATAAATTAACAATTACAATATTCTATGTTAATTACTTGAATAGCGTGTAATTTTTCATCCACAATTTTTTATAACTCGAATATATAAGATCTTATAAAATGTTACTTATAATGAGTAGTATCATGAAATAAATAAGTTTAAAAAAAATATATTATTACCAATATATAAAACTTTTATTTCAAATTTTTTATTTTTAAACTAATTAAAGGGTTTGATGCACGTGCTTGGTATTTTAATTTTGTAGCAGTAGGCTTAGATGCTGCAGCTTTTCTATTAAATTTCCTCTTTCTGTTAATACCAACAAGTCTTTTCAAAGTTGGTGGAACTATGTATTCTGGTACATTTTTCAACTGTGGTTGTAATTTTACAATATGCAATGCTTTGTCTTGTCTCAGTGATTGTAAATCTTTCGGATTATCTGCGAAATAGCTTTTTAATTTTTTACAATTGAGTATCTCTTGTTTTATTTCTTTTAAACGAGCTTCTCGAACAGCAATTCTCGTTACCGCTTTCCAGGCATCTTTTGCTCGATATCTGGAAATAAACACTGACAAAGTCAGAAATGAAACAAATTTAAAATAACAGATTTTTTATTTAACATACCGAAAACCTTCGACCTCTTCTAGTTTGAATTGGTACGTTTTGAACAATGTATCGTGATTGTAACAGTTTTTCAATTCGCTTTCCACTTGTTCTAGAAGCGATCTTTCTCTTATCGATACGAAACTCAATGCAGTCCCTTGATTTTTTCCTCGAGCGGTACGCCCGGCTCTGTGAATGTAAGAATTCACATCTTGGGGAAAGTCGAAATTAATTACATTGGACACAAATTGAAAATCAATGCCACGAGCTACACCGGACTCTTTGTCTTTCTTTCGTTTTCCTTTTTTAATCTTTGTTATATGAGGCTGTAAGGGATAGAAAAATTGGGAACTTATTACACTGATACACTGATTTTACACACACACACACACACACATGAACTAATATAAATATATAATATTTACTTCTTCCAAAGATTTTTCATCTGATGCTATTATAATATCATATGTTCCAGAATTAAATTGTGTCACCGCTCTACATCTCGAAACTGCTGGCAGCTCAGAATTTAATACACAAGTTGGTATACCAAATTGTTCTAGAAATAATTTTAACTTGTAACATCTATCTACTGTATTTACAAATATAATAGTCTTTCCTCTAAAAGAAAATTTAAAAGAATTTGTTATTAATGGGCTATATGTTTCTTTACATGTACTATTAAATTCCACGTACTTACCTAATTAAATTTAATTTTAATAAAGCATATAAAATAGCAGCTTTATCATTTTCTTCTGCTGCAAGACTGTAATGTGACAATTGTGACAAAGGGGCTAATGGCGGCTCTTCTAATTTCAAGATTGCTGGTTTACGAAGTACCATCTTTTTAAGAGTTATCACATTTTCTGATAATGTTGCAGAAGCCAACGCTGCTTGGTATATCAGAGGCAAATAATTCAGTAAACTTTTTATTTCATCCTCATACCCAAATGAAAATACCTGAAATGCGATGAATAAAATTATCACGTATGAAAAGAGTAAATAATTAAATCTGAACTGCTTACCAAATCGGCTTCATCAATTATCAATGTTTCAAGAGAATTTTTCAATTTCATATTGTTCACTTTTAAATGCTGCAATATTCTACTTGGAGTACCAATAACAATATCAGGTTTTTCTGCCAGTAACAGTTTCTGTGCATTAAGATCTATTTGCGGACTGACGTCAATGATCTTCACTTCTCTGCTACATTTTATTGTCAAGCATATCACAACGTCGTGTATCTGTTTGCATAACTCTTTACTTGGAGCTATGATAAGACTTTTGATTTCTTGCTTCTTTTGGGCTCGCTTGTGCAACAAAATTTTTTGAATAAGTGGTACAGCAAACGCAGCTGTTTTTCCAGATCCCGTACGAGCTCGGATTAAAACATCTTTTCCTTCCATCATTAACGGTATTGCTTTCTCTTGTATCAATGTAGGCTCTGCCCAACCTAACTTTGCAATAGCCTGTAAAATATTTTATTCCATGTAAATATATAATTGCGACTAAAATATGAATTCTAGGAAACAAAAGCGTAAATTAGAAAGTGTCACAGTAATTTTTACTAAACAACTATTTACGTGTTAGGAACATAACCTCTTTTTCGCGAATGAGAAAGGTACGTGATATTTTACCTTTAGAATTCTGTCGTCTAGTTCCAATTCATTAAAATTTTTCGGCTTTGGCTCGTTTTCTTCGTCCAGTTCCATTTTGTCCGATGCCATAATAAATCGAAATATGCAGTTCAAAATACAAAAGCACGTGCCGATCTGTCAGTACATTTAAATCGTATTTTCATCGGCGAACAGCGCCATCTAACATTTAGCTAGGTAGTTTTATCTCGATCTATCTCGATCTATTTCGATTTATTTCGATCTGTCTAAATTCAAATATCTGCACAAGCAAACAAAATAGAGTTTGTCAAGTTAATCGTAATAAATGCAAATTGCCTTTCGTTTAAGGATAAATCTGAAAATACTGTTGTGCATAGAGAAAGCACAAAAGAATTTGCAAAAGATATAACAAAATTTCTAAGAATAGTTACACATTAATATGTATTACATAAGTATATCAAAATGGAACGAGTTTTGGGAGGTGTACAAGATTTGACAAGAAAGATCATTTCTAGAATATATTGCTATATACACACTTTAATAACCAAAAACAAACATTACAGTAATAATATTGTTATTAATATAATATTATGTAATAATAGAATCGTTTATCAATTGTAGTGTAAACACTAAAAATCTTGCTTTCTCTTTTTTTTTTTTTTTATTGGAAAGAACAACGCATACGCTTTGCCTCTTTATTAATTAATATTAATTCATGATCGTCGCGAAGTAACCGCGCTTGCGACTCCGGCGTCGATCGCGACTGAAGAGAAATTACATCGCCACCGCGCGGAACACACGTTCGCGCGCGGGGTTGCTGCAAACAACTAAATTATCGCGATCGATAGTTCGTCGCTGTTTGATCCCAACACGGGGCATCGGATTCTCGATGCGATCGAGGCCACCAAGGGTTAAAGGGGCGAAGTTTCTGGGAGGGGGGAAGGGGTCGAGGTATCGCGAGCGCGGCGAATCGCGACCCTGTCTCGTTACCTTAGAATAATAAATATTATAGTGCAATATCTAAAAAATCTGTCTTTTTTATGCAACTTACACATTCAAATACAGTGTACTCGAAAAATTTACAATCGTTATTGCCCTTACAAACATTAAATCTCTATTCGAATGATGGTAAATCCGCGATCCCTCTCTCTGACCGCTAAAAAAGAATGTTTGATTCGAAAATCGTGTGAGTGCGTGTGTGAGAATCAAAAAAGAGGTGCAGCTGCTGCTGTAGTGATACTGAAAAACTGTCGTGTTTTTTTCTTCCCTTTTTCTTTTTCTTTTTTTCTCTCTTTCCTTTCTTTCCTTATGTATATGCATTCTGTATGCGCGTTCATACGTGCGTACGCG